TGACGACAAATATTGACGATATTCTTTTGCTACAAATGTCATAAGTTGTTTATAGGTCTTCAATATGGGAGTAACACATTACATTCAAATTTAGGACACCATGTTTACAAGAATGGGTCTGCGTCCCGAGGAGGTCGGCGTTGACAAGCAGGGATAATCGGCGGTCGTTGACGGTGGTTTAATGGTTGATGGTGTTCGGTGGCTGAGAAGGTCGAAAGTTATCTCCAAATCTTTAGTTTATAACGGGCTCCAAAATCCTCTTCTTCTCCTCTCTCCTTAAGTGAAAAGAGGGGGTCCATTTATAGTCCATTCTGGAGGAGCCTTTTGGTTATTGGGCGAATATATTCATTAATTATCCAATCGGATGACCAACACCCCTTAATCATAAGGGCTTTTTAAAATATTGAGCATCATAACGACCTCAAAATTGAGTGATCATCGACTCGTTAGATTTCTCTCATCAAGACATTCTATTTGACTATAACTATGTCAAATTTGAAATTTATTTGACTATTCAATTAACAATCCAAAGCTTTTAAATGTGCTTCAACGACTTGATTTTGGCTTGATTGGACTTGGATCAAACTAATGTTGGTATAATTGGGTTTTTCTTGTTGAAACAACCATTTTGACCTGAAATTGGGCCTGGATGATCTTACATTTGAATTTTGAAAATCCTTTATAAAAGAATGTGTTGAAAATCATGGGTGATAAAAAATTATTAATGACACATCAAGAATCATTTGAATATTAGTTTTATAAATATATAAAATTTTAATTGTACAAATGTATATAGAAATTTGTTATAAAGTTCAATATGCATAGTGAAATGAAGCTACATCGAACTATTAACTTATTACCTCTAAGTCAGAATTATATTTGTTTTCTGAAGAAAATGATAAGAAAAACTTTTAGACAATAAAAAAAAGCTTCTTAAACTATACATTTCCTAATAAATAACATAATAGTTTCAAATATTTTTAGAATTGTTTTTTAATCAACATAATTGTTTTAGATATTCTTAGCATAGATTTTTATTTATTATACACAATTTAATATAAATAAATAAAATTAGCTTGGCATAAATCTTAATTGTATAATGAAATTTTATTTGCAAGAATTTTATTAAAAGATGATTTTTTCTGTCAGTTTTTTTCTCTGAGTTTGTTGAATTCAAATTCGTCTCATTTCTTATAGCTAATTATAAACTCAAAACCATAATTGTGTCCTTAAATGTTAGCTCTAATCCCTACATTAAATTTACATTAGGTTATAAGTTCATGTGATGTAACTGAAGAAGGCATTGTAGAAATAAAGATTTGTTGCTAATAGTTTCCAAAATGTGGAATGCACCTTGTTGAAGAAGTTTACCCACTTCAATCAATATAGGAGACTAGCAACCAATTGTGTTGAGTTACTTGATAAGCTTACTCTATGTTGGGCCAAGTGTCATGTTGTATGCTACTTGAGAACCCTACCTTGAGGATTGAATATGAGGGTAGGTACTCCTTGTGGATTGGATAACTTTTTTTAATTGACCTTAAGATCTAGTATTGTAGTTGTGGTGACATTGATGAGTTTTTTATGATGAGCTCTACAAGTTGACAATTTGAGTTGGTTGGGTCTTCCAACAATTAGCCTACATAGACTTATTTAGATATTGACTATTCTACATTTATTTTATTTTCTTTTTGTTTTCATGTTCTATGATAATACTTTTGTTGTTTGTCAAAAATTTCGCAGCGATAAAGTGATAATTTAATGTCTTTGTATTGTACTAACATCTAATACACACATATATAAAAGAGAAGCAGCGGAGGAGACTCCATAATTTTTTATGTGAAAGTAGCAAGGGAAAATATCATGGGACCTTGCGCAATTAAGGTAGTGTACTATGTGATTGTAGGTGCACAGATCCACCCTCCTTCTGATTTAAGGAAAATGAAATTACAAGGTTGATAATAAAAAATGTACAACAATAGTTCCACCATAATAACAACAATAAGGTTACAATTCTTAGTGATAATAGCAATAGCAAGATGCAAATGTCGTAGTTGTTTGCTACAAAGGTAATAGTTCATCACATATATTTTAGACTGTGGTTGTAATAACATCAGCTTGTCGCAAAGATCATTGTTGAAAGTCATAGTAATAGTTGGCCACATAGGTCATAAGTGATAGCTTCATAGTGTTAGTTAATCACTAGGGCCATAGTGGATAGCTAAAATAATGGTTGTTGGCCACAAAGGTCGTAGTGAGGGCTGTAATGACAACAATTGACCACATAAGCAGTGCCGGGCAACTACGATAACATAATTTGGCCACAATGGTTGTGGTTAAAAACTACAGTAGTTATTAGTCATGTTGGATGTAGTTCGACACACAAGCCATAATGAGGAGCTAGAATTACATCAATTGGCCACCAAGGTCGTAGTAGGTGCTACAATAGTAGGTGATTGCACTAGATACATCAATTGTCTACGATGTGAGAAGAGAATTTCATGAGTCAAGAGAAAATCATCATATTCTAAATATGAAATTTAACAACAATTGTTGTAGAGAGTTATCATCAGATCTTCGATGCAATGTTATTCTTTGTATTTTATGGGTGGTCAGTGACGGTCGAAGATGGTCAGTGAGTGGTAGTTGATTGCTATGGATGGCGGCAATTATCAACGGGTCTTCAAATCCATAATGACTCTCAGATTCTAGTCATTCTCTTCCTCCTGCAGATCTCAATCTAACGTCATTTTCATGAGGTGAGTGGGGCTCTATTTAAAGATTTTGTGACTGACATCCTCCCAAAATATTGCATGAATCAGGACCACAACATTCGATGACCCATAGTGATTCCCTCGATCGACATATATTTTATTGAAATTTAAGTGTCATAATGACATCAAAATTGTGCGATCTTAAACTTATTGGATTCTTCTTATCAAGATGCTCAATTTGACTATAATCTTGTAAAATTTTGAGTCCATTTGAACTTCTAATTAACTACCTAAAGCCTCCAAGAATAGTTTAACGACTTGATCTAGGCTTACTTGACTCAAATAAGATTAATTTTGGTATCATTGGGTTCATCTTGTTGAGTTTGTTAACACAAATTGTATACTATGGTTGTAATAACATTAGCTTGTCGTAGAGGCCACAATTGAAAGTTGTAGAAGTAGTTGGCCACATAGGTTGTAGTTGATAGCCGTATGGGTATCATAGTAGACAATTGCAATAACGCCAATTGGTCACAAAAGTCGTAGTTGAGGGTTGTAATGACAACAATTGACCACATAGGCAATAGTGGGCAATGTAAGTTGGCCACAAAAGTCATGGTTGAAAACTGCAGTAGAAATTAGTCACGTAGGTTGTAGGTGGTCACACATGTCATAATAAAGAGTCATAGTAGCATCAATTGACCACCAAGGTCATACTTGGTGCTACAATGGTAGGTCATTGCAATAGAGATATCACTTGTCGATATACGATGTAAGAGAGGAACTTCAGGAGTACATAGAAAGTCATTGTATTCTAAATACGATATTATAAGTAGATTTTGCAAAGAGTTATCAACAAATCTTTGATGCAATGTTATTCTTTAGCTTGTATTGCGGGTAAGTTGTTTTATTATATTCAGGGTGCATCATCACATCATATATTGGGTGCGTCATTGCATCATATTTGGGTGACCGTATTATGTGTGCATCATTACACTTATTTAGAGTGTACCCTTACACCGTTTCGATGTGTTATAACATTGTATTCATGATGCATCACTACATTGTGTTCATGGTACGTTGTTACACGCTAGACCACATGGTTCATCGATGACAACGAGTAGTGGATGGTCAGCGGCGATCGAAGGTGGTCGATGAGTGATGGTCGATTGCTACGAAGGGCGTAAGTTATCATTGGGTCATTGAATCTAGAATGACTCAGATTTTAGTCATTTTCCTCATCCTTGAGGTCCCAACCTAGCGCCACTTTCATGAGGCGACTGGGGCATTATTTAAAGATTTTGGGAGTGACAACCGCTATAAATATTGTAGGAATCAGATCTACACCATCAGATGATATTTTATGGACATGTAAATGCTTTGATGACATCATGATTGAGTGATCTTGAGCTCGTTGAATTCGTCTCATCAAGACGCTCAATTGACTATAAGCTTGTAAAATATTGAGTCCCTTTAAACCTCTAATTAACCATCCAAAGCTTCTAAAAATGATTTAATGACTTGATCTTGACTTGTTTTGCTTAGATCAAATCGATTTTGGTGTCATTGGGTTTGTCTTATTGAGCCGGTCATTTTGACCGTTAGTTTGTTGAAATTAGAGCTTTGAACGGTTTTTAATTTGAATCAAAACATTTTTTATCTAAAAAATGCCTCAATAGTCATGCAAAATGTCTTGAGAGCCATGCCGAATGTTAAATATTTTGATGACGCATCAGCTTTGAATGCTTGCTTTCTCATATATTATTAGATTGAATGGAGTCCATCCAATGTTTTTATAAATAGACAAGCACAACTAGAAAAGACAAAAAAAGTCTTAATATTCCATTCTACCAAGACGCTAGTTCTCAAAATCAATAGAAAAATAAAGTTTTAGTACGAGGTCTTTTTAAGATATATCTAATTATAATTCTATTTATAATTTGCACATCTATTTTATCACATTTAACTTTAGAGACTATAACTTAAGCTACAGTCAGGAAGATAAATTATTTATGATATGTTGATTAATCTTTTTTTATTAAATAAACATAACATATAAAATTTATATTGATAAAAAATAATTCAAATTCTCTTAAAAATGACTATTTTATCCATTTAAAAATAATGCGCGAACTTTAGTTATTCAACATGTAGCCATCTGTGTTGCCGCGCGCGCCATAGTAACCGTGCTACTACCGGCCACGCACCCTCTCCTCGATCCGGTTACATAAGCGGCCACACCGTACCAAACAACATTCAATGATCGAATCATGACCTAATGTAGATTAAAAAACAAATTAAATTAAAAAAAAAGAAAAACCAGATCGTCGAGCGGCAAGAACGATCTCTCTGGTTTCTGATTTTCTTCTTGCTCGTCTCGATTTTAATACTGAATTATACTGTTTCTGTAATTTATCTTGTTGAAGGCGACGACTAGAAGGCAAGGAACCAACAACTCCCCCAACCGCCCACCCCACCCTTTTTTTTTTCTTCATAAATTTTCAACCCCCACGGAGAACGACCCTTCTCCCGCTAGTTTCATCTGCCTTGCTTCAGATCCGGCCCATCACCTTAGGGTTTAAATACTATCATCTCACCATCTGTTTCCTCGTGTTGATGAAGATTCACTGAAGACGGTTCCTCTAACCTGGGTAGCGGGGATAGTGGGTGGAGAGGAAGAGAAGGGCGGTTCTGTTTATATTGGAAGTATATCTCGCATTTTGATCTGTGTTGAGTTGTTTCCCCTTCGTGGGGTTGCTTATTCTGATCAGATCATTTGGTTGTTTTTCCTTGGCTGAAGCCCCAGGAAGATGGTGGAATCCGGTCCCTTAACTCCCGGTCAGGTGGAGCACCCATCCTCTTTTAGTTGGTTTTGCTTTTTAAAATTTCCGATTTTTCACGTGATCCTAGTGGTTTCTGGATCTGTGGCTGATTTGGTTTAATGATTTCTTTTTCTTTTTTAATTTCTAATTTGAGGTCGCATTGCAGTAGCTAACACGTCAATCATTCTTTGAATTTGCATTGGGTGTACCTATTGGTCATGTTGCGTGGGGAATGTGGCATAGTGGATCTTGTTCGTTTCAGCACTCTAGTGATGTTTGGAAATGCTCGCCCTTTTCAATTAGGGTTTTTTAACGAGTATTTTGAAGAATGGAGATATAAGAAAGTGTGAAATATGGTGCAGAAGCTCTAGTTATAAATGATGAATTGGCTTAGCGTGTTAAAGATTGAGGCCATTGTTGGTTACTCCGCCGATATGCCTAGCTTGGTTACCACTTACTGTGCATCTGCCTCATCTGCATGGCATGCTGTCACCAGAACTAGTTTTAGAATTTGATAATTGATAGTATATTAAATATTAGTTGTCCCAGTTATGCAATAGAATGGGAGTAGTGAACATGAGTAATCAGGCTGATGAGTTGTTGTATAAATTTAGGGATTGCCTTGTTTTTTTGAAAATAAGATGCCGATATTGATGTTATGATATATGTGTAATGTAGGAACTATATGTATACAAATATAATACACAGGAACATACCTTCATGAAAATATGTGATGGAACGTGTGTATATGCATACATGGGTTCTTTTATAACATTTTGTGTAGATATATTTTCATATGTGCATAGTACCTACATACCTTGTAGCTACATGTGTACATGCACATGCATTGTGAAAATAATACAATAGAGATAAACACACACACACACACACACACACAAGTTTCATATACACATTCATTCATACATCCATTGTGTAGTTTACAATATTTTGTGGCTGAACATACAATCATGCTAACTATTGTGCATGCTATTATACACACATTACTCATACATATTAAGTGTTTGTAGATGGAGAAAAATAGAGTCAATTATTTTTTAGCATAATTTTGATTCATAACTTCTTTACGATCTTGATTTTCCATGCAAACATACATATGCATATGCTCGTATAAATTGATGTGTAGAAAAACATATTGTCTTAATCATTATCACCATCTTCATTAGTCTTATGTCAGTTATATGGAATTTCCTTAAATTTTCATTTGCATGAGTTATTAAATCTAATTTGCTCAAGTCTTTTTGAACAATTCTATTCATGTTGGTTTAGGTCCACTCCTTATTGCTACATCTTTTGTACTTCATTTACATGCCCAAACTACGCAAGGTTGTTTTATATAATCTAATTTCGATTGATTTATCTTACAACATATACAAATATTAAAAAAAAAAAACTAATAACATCCATCTAATATGATTAATTTCTAGTTTTTATGTGCATTTATCTTAAAATGCTTATTTTTTTTGTCATGGTTAATTTGATTTAATTTACTTTTCTTTACTACCCAATAGTTAGAGTGCCCAAGAGATTCGTGATTCAATGAGATGGGGACAAGTCGAGAGGATTTGAAAGATTATAAAGGCACTTTTGAGAAAATTTGACATTTTAAGAGAAACCCAAGCTAAGAGCATTGCTATCCAGTGAAGACGATGCCAAGAGGGAACTTGAAAAGGGGTTTGGAAAAAAGCACGCGAGAGTCATGTAACTCTATTACCACGTGTTTATTGTCTAGTATTAATGGTGATAGCTTGTTCTCTATAATCCCTGATTTCTATGCAATTCAACGATGAATTTGTCGATGCTTCCTTGTAGCTTCTCCAATTTAAAACTTAATTTCTTATGGTAAATGCACACTTATTGTAACTATCATTTAGTATCTTTGTAAAGGGATGTAAGAGGAGGAAAGGAGATTAACCTCTCTAGTACTAGCTTTTTTAGTTAGAATCATAGAGAAACCATTGTTGGGCTCTTGGCAATTCCTAGAATTGAAGAGAGAGAGGCTCTTTGGAGTTAAAGAGCTAGAGAGGGAGCGGATTCAATGAATTATATATTTTCTCTTTATTTTTTGCCTAATTTTATATAAATGAAATGTGTATGATTTTTGTTTTAAGACTAAGAATACAAATTAATAATCTCACTTCATTAGCACTCGACATGTTAGTTGAAATTATTTTCGGTGTCACGTTGATGGTAACAAATTAGTTTCTTAGGTAATTGAACACTAGTTTCAGAAGAACTTTGGTGCATGATGTTGATGCAATGCAGTTATCAGACATTGAGATATATATTGGTAACCTTGGATAATTCAAGAAGAAGAAAAGATAAGTTGATATATCAATTTTATAATGAGAAACCTCTAGTGACTTGGCCAACTAAGTTGCACTCATTTAACAACATTTTGTTGTGATGATGGAGAGATTGAGCAAAAATTCCTTGACAACGACTTTAGAAGTAGAATATAGGTAAGATCAATTCCAGAAGGAGATATATCTATTATGACATCGAGAATCTAAGAATTTTTTTTATAGGAATGAAGTTGTCTTATAAATAAGAATCTTGAATATTTTTAAAAGGAGGTTAGCAAATCGTTAAGGTTACCTTCAATGGATAGTGTAGGGAAGCTCGATGCTTAGGCGGACTTACTTGACATTTACTTTAATCTCTATGACATTCTTCCAAACATAGTTATTTGGCTCAACTCAAGCTCACCTAGCTCACCTTGATCTAGTGGAATGTTCATCTTCGGCAAGGGCGTGAATAATCACCTAAGGACGGTTCAAGACGATGCTCCTATAGGAATTCTATTCTATGGAGTATGATGAAGAAAGATAAAGTTTTATGAGTTGCATCAATGATAAGAATAAACCATACAAGGCTATACAATTGATTTTGAAAATGATTCTCCAGTAGGAATTCTATCATACGAGGTATGAAGAGGAAATGTAAAGTGTCACAGTTTACATCAATGATAAGAATAAACCATAAAGGCTATACAACAATGCTTAAAAGAGAAGCATTGATTATTGGTGTAGGGTTGTAAGTGAATCAAGTTGTCACGACTTGATCTGATAGCTCAAAATTAACCAAGTCAGGAACTGCGGTCGGACGGTATTAATATTTAATCTACTTTCCATAGGTTTTCAGAAGCTTTCAATATATTAAAGAGCCGCTAAGAATCCACATAGTATGATACACATAAAATTGAAACATCCAAGAATAAGAACACAGTCTGTAGACATCTCAAAGTAGCCTATAACCTTAGGGCTTTTTAGGGATCAATCTGTTTCTTCTTAATACATGGGCCTAGAATGCAATGCCAAATTGATAATCTCTATGTTTCTAGGCTATTTTATATTGTAAGCAATAAGGACACACAACTCTGTATTTGTAGGTTAGACTGCATCAAGAACCAATCTAGGGTGAAACTTGAATTACCAATCTTTGATAAATACACGCCTTGTTCTAAATGATTTTTTAATATCCAGGTAACATTAACATCTAATTTGTTTCATGCAGGTTTCTTTTTTGCTTGGATTTATTCCTGTATTTACAGCATGGTTATATTCAGAGATATTGGATTACAGGAAATCCTCCTCTCTTTCAAAAGTGTAAGATTCTTATACAAACTAAATATTCTAGAATAGTGTTGCTTGAATATTATTGTGTTTAATCAAATGTGAAGAATTAGATGAGCAGTTTTCTTATATCAAAATATAAGGCTTCAATTATTAATGCATAATTTTAGTCCTTCGTCTTACTTTTGTTCTCTGTTTCATATTTTGTTATGCTGAAGATGAATAAATTTGGGTTCTCTTGTTATTTTTAATGTTCTTTGGATCATGAATACCATTCAACTAAGTGTTTAAAGACATTTTCTTTACACAGCCATCTTTAATTTTTTTTTGAAGCATATGTTTGAATTTTGTTCTTTCTAGATGTTATATTCATCAAATATGTCAAAACGCTTCAGAAGCTTTTATTTAATGAACTGCCTCAAAAAATAGTAGTTTTGCTATTTATGAACAAAGGGTTTAATATGTAGTATACATGAATTCATTTTGTATATGGGAACGATTAAAATAATGATAAAAAGAGGCTATTTTGATGCTTTTAAATCCTAAAACCAAGTGAGATACGTTGATAACTAGCATTTATTTGCATTTCGAATTGATTGAGATGTCACACAAAAAAAGCTTTATTTTTCTTACTATACTGATTGGTTTCCACATCAAGCAGAGTAATTTGTGTGCTTGATGGCGATAAAAATTGGAGAGGACAATCTAGCAATGTTCCTTGCAGTTGAAGTTTAAAATTCTTATGTGCCTGCTTCTGTATGCACTGCTACTACTAAGAAAAGAAAACTCACCTTTTTGTAATGATTGCTTTTTTATATTCTAAGCATCTTGTAAATGCTCTTTGCAGCCATTCAGATACCAATCTGGTTGAGTTGGGAAATGGAACTGTTAAAGAAGGCGACCTAGTCCTGTTGCTTGAAGGAGGCTTATCTAGGTCTGCATCTGCAAAGTTTCAGAATGCTTCTATCCGGACAACGTTAATCAGGTTAATATTGAGGTGTAGATTTTTTTTTTCCTGAAAATAAGCACCTGCGGCTTACACAACCGTGAATGTTCAAGCTGTTAGTAACTATTATTTCTGCGTTAACATATGCTGCAGATTTGTAACGATGGATGAATCGTTTTTAGGTGAAAATCGGGCTCTTTTAAGATCAATGTAAGCTTCTCAGGCAGATCTTTGCTTGAAAACACCTATTATCATTTATTGTCTTAAGTCTAATTTATGTCATACAGGTCAGAATTTGGTGGGGTCTTGATCTACTTCTACATATGTGACCGAACAAACTTGTTTCCTGAAACCAGCAAGGTTTGTTCAGTCTTCAGTTTGATTGTAATTTGTTGTAGGTATGTTTTAAAATTTGCAAATGTGAAAAAGTGATAATCAATTCTAACAGACTCAGGTATCTATAATTTTCCCTTTTTAATTAGTTCGTACCATATAGGTCCATTACCTGTTGTTAAAGGATACAAAATTTGTTATTAAGATGCAACCGGAAGATTCTGGTATACAATATCTTAGAAAGATGCTACTTTCGTTTTCATTAAACTTTTGAATTGCAAAGAACATGCAATTTATTGATTAGAATGATCATACTCGGCTGATACTGTAGTGCCTTTGCTTTTTGATTAGCTTTGTTCCTGTGGACATAATGATATTTTGTAAGACCGCATGAATCCACATTTCCATGCTAAGATGAAAGTGAAATTAGGTTGGTCTTTTCAGTACCAATGGTTAATCTGTTTGGATTTTTTATAAATAATATAATTCAATTTTAGCATTATCCACTTAATTTTATTTATTATATTAGAATGAAAATAAAATGCCTTTGCTATTACTGTGTTTGTCAGGGAATTTTAGGAGTTACCTGCCAACATATTCCTATCTTTGAAGTCATCAAATATTCTCATGAACAAGCATTACTTGTAGCAACACATATGTGGCACTTTATTTCATTGTTCTGTGATATGCATTGTTGGATCCAAAGTTTCTGTGAAGAATAAACTAAAGCTTACTTGACAATTTAATCGCATTTGGATTTGCAGTGTATCTCTTAAAGAATTGGTTTACAATGAACGTGACTGAACCCCGTTAAATAAATAGTGAAATTTTGGCAATGTTAAGGGAATAATTTGAAGAAATAAATATTTCACGAACTACATCTTGCCTTTTGTTTATTTTGAATGCACAAGCCTAACATATGACCTCCTCTTTTTAGTTGGAAACATATTCGATACTATTTTATTGCCAACCATGACAAGTACATGGAAAAGAATTTCATGATCTCACTCTGGCTCTCATTTGTGGGTTAGTTCACTTGTTGAGTTTGAGTTTAACGAGTTGATGAGCATTCTTGGCAACTGTTGGACTTCATGAATTATTTAGTCAAGTTTAGGCTTTGCTTGAGAGAGCTCCTTTTTTTATAGAAGCTCCTTTACAAGTAGATTTAAAATAAACATCGATATAAAATTATAGTTATTAAAACTGATTGCTAATTTGTATAAAATTTTTTTGTGCATTATTAATCTTTAACTTTTCTAACACAAAAAACTAAAATATTCCTCAATATCACTACTCTCGCATCTCTCACTCTCCACGTATTCTGAGATGAGAGACAACAAAGCTGTAGTCTTGGAAGACTTCCTCCACCTTTTTAAAAACTTCAATTGCCACTTAAATTATTTCTAGAGATCATTGAGATTTTCAATTACTTGTGTCATCTTGTGTAAGTGATGCTGAACACCTTTTTAAGTATTCTCTTACATTATCCTCCCTTGTGAGTAGAGGACCACATGAAAAATTGACATCTATAGAGACCTATTCATAATAAAAGGCTTCAAGGATGTGAATATCATTTCTCGTTGGGGATCATGGGCATGGAATGGTGGATTAGAAGTTTAGGGAGTAGAGTATTATGTACTTTTTCATTAGGTGCGCCAATGGATGGCTAATTAAGAGCAGGACGACTAAGATTACAGAGGATAAGGCTGCGATTCGCTCTCTCTATTGATGATTACGACTATTTTATGGGTCTCAGGTATTTTTTTCTTTGGTTATATTAGGTGTACTTTTCAAATATGGTTATTAAAGCAGGACTTGCCCTTTGACCCAAGCCGACAAGTTAAAATAATCAATTTTTTTTTGTAACTTATATTTGAAATTTGAATTCTATCTTATTGATTGATTCAAATCTTTGTGACCTATTGGCTTTGAAATTTCTTAGAACTTGATAGTAGATGTCGACATGGAATTTGAGATGGTACCTGTTTCCTTTTTGAATTATGTAAATGAAGATGGAAACAGAATGTCTAAAGAGGAAGGAAAAGAGACCTTTCAAAAGAGGAAGGAGAGGAAGAAGAGGATGAAGAAGCAATCATTCCTCTAAAAGCTCTAGGATGATCGCACTTACGGCTTTGATCCCGTAGATCTTTGCTACACTTGTGACAACGCTCTCCATAACAAAATTTTGGCTTTAACAATAACTAAATTCTAATGACTGTAACTAATTAACTAAAGTTACATTTAGGCGAATTCTAGGGTGAAGTTGCAATTGCTTGGTACGGTGCTTATCCCCTTTGAAGGTGGTACTGATCATTAAACCGACCCTTCACTTCTGCAAATATTGTTATTTCAAAGGTAAACACATCAAGCAAGTCAATCAAGGAATTTTAATTAAATATTTTTAAGATTAAGACAACTCCAAAGGAGAGCAAGGGGACTTGGGAAAAGAGTCACTAATGCATCCCTATTACACTACTAGGCCCCCATATTGCAATGAAAGCTGATGTATGGTTTAGAGCATCAAATACAGTTGTTGGTGACTTCAACATTAATCCATCGGATACAAGCATCAGATATAGTTGTTGGTGACTTCAAAATTAATCCATCAAATTCAAAGGAGAAGTTAACTAAGCCTCTAATGCTCTCTTGAACCTTAATTTTATCAAGCAAGTTGCATAAGATTTTGGAGTTAGGCCCTATAGACTTTATTTCATAAGGATACTATGACGAAGCAAATTCAAGCATCAGTAAAACTAGCTTCTTCATGACTTGGGAATTTACAAGAGGTGTGAGGATCAACATACTGAACTTAGCTACTTAAACTAAAGTGAGATGAAGTGTGCCTTTCTATAAAACAATAGTTATTCTCAAGCTAGTATTGAATACAGTTGTTGGTGACTTCAACATTAATCCATCAGATACAGTTGTTGATGACTTCAACATTAATCCATTAGGTTCAAGGTGAAGTTAACTCAGTTAACTAAGCCTCTAATGCTCTCTTGAACCTTAATTTTATCAAGCAAGTTGCATAAGATTTTGGAGTTAGGCCCTATAGACTTTATTTCATAAGGATACTATGACGAAGCAAATTCAAGCATCAGTAAAACTAGCTTCTTCATGACTTGGGAATTTACAAGAGGTGTGAGGATCAACATACTGAACTTAGCTACTTAAACTAAAGTGAGATGAAGTGTGCCTTTCTATAAAACAATAGTTATTCTCAAGCTAGTATTGAATACAGTTGTTGGTGACTTCAACATTAATCCATCAGATACAGTTGTTGATGACTTCAACATTAATCCATTAGGTTCAAGGTGAAGTTAACTCAGCCTCTAATGCTCTCTTGAACCTTAATTTTATCAAGCGAGTTGCATAAGATTTTGGAGTTAGGCCCTATAGACTTTATTTCATAAGGAAACTATGACGAAGCAAGTCAAGCATTAGTAAAACTAGCTTCTTCATGACTTAGGAATTTACAAGAGGTGTGAGGATCAACTAGCTACTTAAACTAAATGGAGATGAAACGTGCCTTTCTATAAAGCAGTAGTTATTCTCAAGGTAGCAAACAAAATGGAGAGATCTTTATGCTATAAGATTTTAAAGGTTGTTGCTACTTAGAAGAATCAAATGATTTAGCAGTAGGCTTCTCTCACCATGGTTGTGAACCAAATTGAAAAATTTCACCTTGATCTCAAAGGCATTCAAGAAGCCTATAATAAGAAAGCTTTTCAACTCCAAAGCTTCATAATTGGATTAAACTCATCCTTAATTAATGTTAACTTGGGTATGAAGTCCCTAACATACTTAACTGAAGGTAATTGATGTTGACTTCAAAGTTTTGCAAGAAACAATTAGTTGATATTTATGATACTTTTGTAGGAGTGTTCAAATAGAAATGGGTCCTTGAGTGTAAAAAATGCCAAATTGAAAGCAAAGCTGGCTAAAGCATCAAATGAAATACACCTTATTAACAACTTCTTGAGTTTACATGACTTGAGTTTACATGAATCCATATAAAAAAAAAAAAGATTACATGAATCCCATTACCAAGAGAACGAGAAGGAATCGCCTTTTGCTTGAAAATTGTAGGGAGACAAGATGTCATTGAGACTAAAAGATTTGCGTCAATGACTATATTTTTGAAATGAATTATTCTAACTTAAAGGATTCTGAGGATGATGAAGATGGGGACCAATAGGAGCTAATTTATAGATTTTTTTTTGTTTCTTTCCATTTTTTAAAGGTTTAGGGTTAACCATAGCAAACCAATTGTACTAAAATTTTTTGAAATAAAAATAGAAAATTATCTTATTCTCACGTAATATATTTATGAATATAATATCTTTTATGGTAGTTTAGATAGCATGCGACTATTTAAGAATTACCAAATAAGTCGATGCTTGGTTCAACTCATACTTCATTTTTAATCTGTATTTCTTGTTTTTAGAACAAATTATCATTGTTAAGCTAGGCCATAATTTTTGTTAGATTTTTTATCTTCATGAGGATAACTATCCATGGACTACATGAATATCTTATCTCAACGGGGATTTCGAGTTCTAGAAATCAACTTTTACTCCTTAGAAATTCATACTATTTTAGCATGACACTTGTTATATAACTTTAATGAATTTAGAGTATTCAACCATACATGCTTATGCAGAGATCAAGTTGTTGTTTGACTTGTAGATAACCTAATCATAGATGAGTTGTAGATATGTAGGCTTGTAACTTGTAATTTTTTTACTTTAATTAAGTATAGTATTATTTAATAAGTTCGTTGGACCTAACTTTTTTGTTATTCAAAATTCATTCCTTAACTATGGAATAATTTTGTTAAGGTGAAAACTAGTCTTCTGGCTGTGAGTCGTATGTTGCTTTTGGAGATTTGTCTTAATCTTTTTGATATAACCACTTGTAATGACTTTGTAAGTCTATAGTTAGTTAGCCACTTGCTCAATTTGTTAAATATGCATTTAGGTGCAAAATTTCTTTGAATTTATTTATATTTTTAACTTCTTGGTTTTATTTTGTTGAGGTTTGACCAACTTCAAAAGAAACTAAGTGTTAACATCAAGGTCAAGTTGCTAGTACTTCCCTTAGTAAATAAAGTCATCAAGTTCTTTAGGATGAGTTCCCAAGTCCATCAAACACATAAGTAAATGGAATAAGATCACTTTTTATTTTTTCATTGTAGAGTATTTGTATTACAAAGAAAGAAAAAGAGTAGGCTTAGTAGTCAAAATTATTTTATTTATTGATTGAAAGTATTTTTACAAACAAATCTCTCCTGAACACAGTTACATGATGCCAAACTGCCTTGACACATCGGCCCCAACACCACCATGAATTGTGAGGATGATCCATACAATTTGAATCTTATGTGTTTGAATAAGCTCATTTTTTTATCACCTTTGTCGCTTCATCAGGATATTGTAGGTCAACAAGGAGCTATTTCAGGTTTTTGACATGAATCTACTCCTTAACAGGACTCTAGAAGCGGCGACAATACTACATATTAAGCTTATGGTCTTTATGGAAGATAAACGATTTAGTTGGTTCAAGAGCAGACAAAATAGTGCACATTGGTGACAGTTGGCTTAAGTACTTGTCACAAATAATATCTAATATATCCATCAGCAACACTTCAAAAGAAGTGTGACTTGAGTACCTCTAACATTGAGTCAATATATATATATATATATATATGAGTTA